CCATTCAGACAACAGCACTGTGGACGTGAACTAGGCAAATCAAGCAGATGGTTACATACTGTCACATAAAAAATCACGTCTCATTGTGTATCAGTAAATCTACCGATGGTACGATTGACGTAGAAAGACCGGAGTAGATACTCTACCTTGGTGCAACTGTTAGGACGGGGTAAATAAAAGATGATGAAACTCATGTTATACAGGAGAGTAGCCCACCGCTAATCAGTTTTGTAATGCAGAGTGCTCAGTTCGGTCACAAGGAGGCAGAATAATCTACAGTTTATTGTGTGGTAGTGTACCGAATATGCTGCGGGTGATTGGCCCGAGTGGGATGAGATAATAGGCTGAAACTTAGACGGGTCACAACAATGCTTACGGCATGATGGCATACAATTGGTTGGGCATTTCAGTGATTGTGGCACAAAATATTGGCTGGATTAACCCATCAGTGCCGGTAATGAAGAGAGTATTTCAAAGCCAGTGCTGAATATTTTCGCGAAATTAAACCTACCTGAACATACTAGGGAGTGATTCAGTAGTCCAACTTCCCAACTACACCCCATCTGACACTCGAAACTATTGCGGATAGTGCGATATCTTTCAAACCATCTCATGGCCAGCTTTCGGTTCATAGCGATATGGACAAAGCAGTACAATGATTGTAATACCTGCACCGATTATGACCATCTCAGTAGTAGTGGTGGAGGTTTAGTGGAACTAAATTTCAGAAAACAACGTGCGAGGTTTCAGAAGAGTTTGATAAAGGTTATACCTCATCACGCGACCGCAATAGAGATAAATTCGTTAACGAGGTACTAAACAAGAAATCATTCAGTGCGACCTGCCTGTCCGAGTCGACCCCATAACTCCTAGACTCACCCTAGATTTTCGCGTCTCAAATGATTTGTCTGTTCTGGCAGTTGGAGTGTGGGCTGTGATTGATTCGGTTGTAGGGCAAGTTAGCTACGCCCACGTGAGCGTGTGGGTCATTTTGCTAAATAGTGAAAGGACAGTAAAATCAAAGTAAATGAACAGTCCTTGAAAGGTTTATAGTGTTTCTGTGCTCGATGTGCAAGGACGCGAATACATCATTGTGGATAACCAACGAGTACGAACTACAAATACGAACTAATCATGTGTGACATTGCTACTTCACTTTTTAAGTCTGTGTGTCGATGCTTCTTTAAATGGGATATTACACCCACGAAAGAGAAAGTTGTCACTGAATAAATCTGTACTGACAAATGCGAAAATGACAGATGCTGGGAGAGCTTAAACCCGACTGAGGAAATCGTATCGAATTCCAAGGATAGCTAGGGAGGCATGCACAAAAATATCGATAACATTCACATCCACATTGTTATATCTGCTGATTCGTCAATCTGTTGTATCTGACTGCTGACCTCGCTCCAGTGCCTAGTGCCATAAAATGACTCACCGAAGGGAATACAACAGCTTAATTCCAAACAAGCGAGTGCGGGAGTGTGAGTGTAAGAATACAACGGTCTCAAGTTATTTTATTGGGGGGACACTATTTGACCTTGGTTCAACGCTTACTCACATTGTCTGGCTTTGTTACATGGCTGTGGCGCGGTGCATAGTGAGGGACGTTGTCCGTCTGGTCGGCATCTAGTGGAGCTGAGGGTCTCAGTAGATTTCGGGCATTCAGTAGTCACTTTCCGGAATCTGACCTTCCTGATACACATAAAGGTCGGTTTTTGCAGATTCGCTAAATCACGAGACAGAAAAATCCCCTGCATTAAGGAGGTTGTCTATTTTGGGACTATCCTCGTTCGAAAAGAAAGAAGTCTAGTGACTAATGAAGGAATATAACATTCTGTCTTCTGCAGGTTGTATACACCGGAATCTTAAATGAAATGCGGGTGAGTGCTGTTCACTGAGCCAAAGCAGTCTATATGAAATAGACACAGTCGTGGTTGCGGTTCAATGGGAAACGAATTGTATATGCAGCTCGACGCATTTTCAGTTGAGATACTTCATGTCTAGAGTCAGGACTGGGACATGTATATGCTACAGTTGGTTTCTAAAGTCACGACTTAACTATTTGATGCACGCCGAGCGAGAGGACGGGCATTTGTTCCACTTCGGGCTTGGCATTCATGCTTTTTGATCAGTTCACAATATATGAAGAGAACCTCACGGGTTTTATATTACGACCACCAGTTTGTTTTTAGATGAGGAAAATAACGAGGATCCAGCTCTAAAAAAGGAGTGTAATGTATCGGACTAAAGACGAAGGAAAACTAACCATGGAGATTGAAGTGTGTCCCATTTTACTATGAGAACAATATTCGAAGTGTAATGAAACGATGACTGGAGATTGCGAAATTCTGGAAGGTACCATATGGATGAAAGTGTGTTCCAATCGACAAGAAGTATTTTCTATGATTTTGAGGAGCTACAAAACATACACAGAAATTTTAGAGCGACGGTCTCCCCGTGATCGATCGATGGGTCTGAATGTTTCACATTATAAATAGAGTAATCTCGTGTTTGATTCTGGGTAGCCTTATGTGACAGCTACGTATAAGACTAAAAATTCAGTTATTGTGAGACCACTCTGATTTTAGTGGAAACTAAAATGTGTCTATGACTTCAAATAAAATAACTGTCATTCAGACGGACAGTGGGATAGTTGTAGGCTGTCATCTCTCTCATTGGGGCTGCTTTGACATGTAGTCAGGTCTCTTTGGAGAAATAGATTATTGTATACTTTGTATCGTCGATGAGGAATTCGATCTCTAAAACCTAGCCATTCTGTGCATTATAGAACAATGTTAATTACAGTGATTCCCAGTTAACCACGTCCAAGAGCGTGAGTGTTAAACTACTGGTTTCGCCACCCATTCGTGAGATTGTGCTGATGGTGGTTTCGAGAAAAGCAAAATTTCGGTGAAACAATTACCGCAAAACAATTACCGTGAAATGTCATCTATTTAGGCATTTACAAACCCTCGTCGAAAAAAGTTGGTGGCGCAACTGCGGTAATTTCGCAATATTGACAATTGTAGGACCAAGTTGTCCGATATACCCACTCGCTTCAGCAGGGGTGAATCTTAGCCTGATAGTTCTCGAAATCTAAATTTGGTTGTCATGCTCCAGTAAACGTCGCTATTTTTGTATAACTAGTCATCTGGCTTCTTTCTTCACGGAAAAATCAATAAAACCTATCTCTTGCCAACATGCACTCTTCTCTAGGACCATAGCGTCTACAAATAAGGTATTGTACGTCCCAAAAGCATGGCCGCTTTAAGAGAGACCCCATCATTTGATAAAATTCAACAGAATCGACGTTTAGTAAGCAAAACCTGGGGACCCTAATTTATTTTTAAAATATATTGGCGGCTTGCGTGTTATCATGCCGCTACACCGTACAATGAAAAGTACAGATTTGCAACCGGTGTTTGCTGTTGAAATCCTGTTAAATTTTTCGAAGTAAGGTATACTGAGCCACCGAGTACAATGCAAATGCAGGTAGGCATGGGGATACTATGTGGGGAAAATTCCGGAATCTCCTCTCCCTCCTCCATTTCTTCCTGATAAGAGAGTATAAAATATTACTAGACGGTTAGATTTGACGGCAGTTATGGAATTGGAGCTCACGATTTCTTCCTCCTCGTGTATTCCAATTCTCACAGAGTTACTCATTCCGTATCATGCGTTTTGTCCCCGCGGTAAGAAACGCTCTACTGAATGGATCGACAAAAGGTCGAAGCCTACGGCAAGAACGGTAAAGTCTGTCACAAATTTTTTCTGACTGAAAGCACCTTCGAGAACCGGGTTTTATATACCAGTGCCGAAACTATTGGGCCGGACGAATAATGCTTTAGGTCCAACGTCTAAATTCCTCGGCAGACCGAATGCGGAAAGTTTAGGCTCCAGTACGTAAAACGGGGTCATGGGAAGCTTCCAGTTCAACGAAAAGTGTGGTTTGTTTGGTGTATTGACGTGTCGTAATATAGATTCCCTCTGCAACGTTGTGCACGATACTCCCTTCGCCTCGGTTTTATCGATGAACACTAGTAAACACTGGGGAACACCATCCCATTTTTGTGCTCGCTCCAGGCCTTGTGGAACCTGGTGTCCTGCCAAGTATGTTTGGACTAAGCTGTCGATCTTGCTGACTAACAAACAAGGCTTATGATCACGTGTGCCGTTCTGAATCGCATCACCTGGAAACTTCCCTCAATCATCGATATCGTCGTCGGACAGTCAGGAGGTTATCACTTCAACAAGACTTCTTACTACCTTTCTTCATAATTTTTTTACGTTCGCCCTCTATTTCTATGCTGATTACTGCCTGAGTTTCGCTTTACCCAGAGCGATTCTCTTTCCTGAACCATGGCCAAGCCTAAGTCAGTGGAACCTTTTAATCCAGCTACTGCCGTTTTTTGAAGCAAGTCAATGGGGATAAGGGACACGTTAACCGGACGTTCTGACGTTGACGGACCTTGAAATGTTGCATGATGAGCCACCGAACTGCGTATTACAGTACCTCAGTCGACTAGACGGAACTTACTCATTAAGGGAGTGATAGGATGTGATGTATCGAGTGTTTTCTATCCCACCCGAGGTCTTCGGAGGCCGCGAACCCCACCTCATGCACATTATCAGAAAACCTGGAACCAAATTTACTCCGAATAATTGAATAACTACTACACCCCCGTAAAATCTCCAATATCAAAACTTTTAGGAGATTTCACAGTTCGAATTGTAGTGTGCGCATGCACAAATCCCACAAAATGTAGTGGTGAACAAACTGGTTGAAGCTCTAGATTGTATAACTGGTTACTATGCCAACCACCATAGAAAATCGACAGGTCTCTCCAAATCCTCCACAGGGGCCATCTATGTAAAACTGATGGGAGGTACCATGCATACCATGGGAACAATAAAGTTCTTTATGTAGCTAGAATGCCTATTCTATTTTTCCAACCGAGTCTCGTTAATGAACACTATTTTATAAACTTGAATTTCAGATGTCACCCTATCTTCAGGTCAGCTGAGTCATCTGGCTCAACAAGTTCATTCAGTTCAAACCCAAGTGGCGTTCTTTGCAGGATTAGAATACAATATTGTGGAAAAACCTAAGGAGCCGAACCCACGCGTGATTATGAATCGAGTGATAACAAATGTGGGTCGGGCGTATGATGCTACGACCGGAGAGTTTACCGCACCAGTTGATGGGATTTACATCCTTGCGGTAGCTGTTTCAGCCCAAGGCAAATCTCGGGTAAGTCAACAATGTCGCCGCACCAATCTGAGACTATATGTGATAAACTTTATATGACTATATCCATAACAGCAAGCCTAAATTGAAGGCAAAAGCTGCACTAATGGTCTTCAACCAATGGTCCTAATGCACCCGGAACCTCTTTGGATTATGGGGAAACAACTGTTTTCCGATTGTCATCAAATAAAGTTCATATATCCAAAAACGAGAAACGCGCAGACGCAGCTTAGATGGTCCATCGTTCTCAGTCAAACGCCTGTACTCATGGGTGCGTGCATACTGTCATATTTTTAATGAATTTTGGTCTGAGAGTCTACTGTTCTGCCCGAAAAAGACAGGACACTTGGATGACGTCATCGTACTGCTAGTACTAGGTGCAGCCTAACGCAGACTAGTTCAGTTGTTTCCAGGTTACATATGCTTATACAACTGGATGGGTAGTGAGGGACTCTTAATGAACTTGAAGGCAGTGTTCGTTCATATCCTATGACCAGTGTCGATCTGGTGAGCAAGGATGGCGCCTCTAAGTGATCGTGCGGTGTTGGAAGGCCAGTGGCAAGTTGACGTGACGTAGGACCGAAGTAGAGGGTACCACAGAAGCACCAAAAGGAGTAAGTAGTCGCGGATTAGGCCAGTATTTCTGGGTTGGACTATTCATTCAGTGGGGGCAGTAAACACCTCCTGAAAAAATACTTCAAGTGAGCGGTGTATAAATTATCCCCTGTACTAGTATCAAATTTCCATCCCTGAACGACATATTGAGAAAAAGGCTTTTCTCCTCCACAGTCATTGTTGGTTTTGCTCGATAAACATCTCGGAGTGGCCGTTATATAAAATAATGTTGGACTATAAGTTCAATTCCTCCTGTAAATTATCACTAGAACATAACTTTCAGGCTCCTGACCTTAGAGACTTAACCAAAGGAAAGAAACTGGAGAAGGTGGTGAACTGTCCACCCCGATTCTCAATTCTTGATAATGTGTACTGCATGATCAACCTAGCAAGCGGATTGGAAGCATTTTGAGAGAGGAAAATCGGTCGATGACCTCTTTCTCAATGGTGAAGTTTATTAAACGGTAGATGCCATTAAGTAATCTGGTCAATTGTTCTAGATCAAAATCTTTGCCAGCTATTTGGACAGACATAATCTACATAGTGGTTGTAATGGTCGAAATCATAATTGCAGTTTGCATCACACATACAAGTGAAAATAGCAATAAGGGACTAAGTGGTGACCTTGCAGATGAATCACCTCATTGACGATGAAGATTGTCACTGAAAAAAAAGATGACAATTTGAGGTGCATCGGCAGCTTAGTTGCAGGTACAGCCAGGTCGAGGTTCATCCTCACAGCAGAATTACAGATGATCCCAATGGCTTCAGTTCATCATCATCATCATCATTGTCAGC